CCGGCGGCGCTGTGCTGCTGACGCCCCGCCCCGATGCAGGGGCCGAGCCGTCCCGGTGCAGACGGCGTCGGGGAGTGGCGGGCGCCCTGCGCCTCCCCTCGCCCTGGAGCGGGTCCCTCCTCGCGGGGCCCCCACGTCCGTGTGTGCCCGGCAGCCGCGCCGGTACCGTGAGCCGGGACGGGGCGACCCGGGGGCCCGGCAGGCCCGGAGTGTCGGGGGCGAGCGCGCCTCGGGCAGGGGGAGCGCAGGCCGGGGGCCCCTGGACCCGAGGCCGGTGTGCGGGGCGGCGGGGCGCCTGCGAGCCCCACTCAGCTCTGACGCCGTCCGCCGGCCAAAGGCTCGGCCCCCAGGACCGCCCCACGCCCCGCGCGGACGCGGCCCCCAGCCCCGGTGCCCCGAGCTCCCGCCCGCCGGCCGCAGAGGGGAGTTCCCCCGCCGCCCCTGAGGCCAGGCTAACTCGCGGGAGGGCCCACGGAGCTCAGGACACTCACGCTTACCAGTTTGATCAGGGGCGACATAAGGCTACCGGTTAACAGCCGGGGAAGAGGCCCACAGGGCATGGCCCCGAGTAAAGGACCTCTCCCCTCTCGGCGCTTGGGGTCCAGCCTGACAGCTCGGGGCGCCTTCCGACCCCGCACGGGAGAGAGGTCTCTGGGACAGGGAAGCAGGAGCAAAAAAATACGCTTCCTCTCTGGGGTATTTTGTGAGGGCTTCTTGCTCAGTCATGATTGACTAAGTCATTGGCCAGTGGCTGATTCAGCCTCCACTCCTCCCAGCGGCTGGGCGCTGGGGGCTGAGAGCCCCCACCCTCCAGTCACAGGATTGGTCCCCTGGCAACCAGCTCTCACCCTTGGGTGGGGTCCAAAAGCTCATTAACACAACACCACCCCTGTTCACCTTTATGGCTCTGAAGCGTTTTAGGGAAATGTGGGTGAAGACCAAATATATCCGAGAAACACATTTTGGTCATCTGAATGACCCAAGTATGTATTTTTTTTTATTAAGGTATCATTGATGTACACTCTTATGAAGGTTTCACATGAAAAACATGGTGGTTACTACATGCACCCATATTATCAAGTCCCCCCCACACCCCATTGCAGTCACTGTCCATCAGTGTAGTAAGAAGCCACAGAGTCACTACTTGGCTTCTCTGTGCTACACTGTCTTCCCCATAGCCCCCCCCACACACCATGTGCCAAGTACATATTGTTAAAAAATCATAACACAGAAGGGTATTTTCAATTTGTGCTTTATGCATATCTGTAAGGTTTGAATTTGTTTTGGAAAGAATATCGCCTTTTGTAATACAAAATGTCTGGGAGGATATATTGTAACATTTTAACAGTGGTTATGTCTACATGGTAGGAATAAGAATTTTCTTAGATAAGCATGTGGTAACCAACTTTGTATCATATGACTATAGGAACATAAAGTTATTTCCATTTTGAAATTAAAAAAGAAATCCATGCTGGTTATATAGACCAAAGCAGCCAATGGTTTGTATTGGTGTCAGTTTGACTAATGACAGTTTCTCATGGTAGTTGTAAATATACATCCTGCTAACGCAGCATGGCCAAGATTTAAAACTATGAGTGGATTTAAGAAGATTCTAGATAAATTCCTGAATGAAAGGCACTCAAGTAATCAGAAGCAGGGCAGACAGAGGGCGACGGAACTAAACATCACCTGAGTACTTGGCTTCCAGGGTCCAGTGACTGGCTGGAGGCAGGTCCTGTATTTTTCCCTGCACCCCTTTCCTCTTGTCTGTAAAATGAGGGATTATACCAGATGAATCCTAAGATCCACTTTTTCCCTCAACCCTTTTGAGATCGTTACCATTGTTTCTGACAGAAGTTTCCTAATGCTACTGTCCTAAACCAACACTGGGCTGAAGGGTTTATTGTCTTGGTGCTAGAGGTGGGTCATATGTTCTTTTGAATCAACCGTGTGTTTCCAGAAAGGAAGAGGTGACACTGGATTAATCTGGGAAAACAAAGTACAAAGGAGAATTTCACTGGACAACCTGAATGAGCAAGGCAGGCATGAAGCACTGCAGGACTTTGGAAGGGTGGAGGGGAAGGATTCTGTCATATGTGCCCTCATCATTCCGGGGCCTAAAGAATGCAAATATTTTTCAATCCATTCAAAGAAAACAGGCTTCTCAGAGTCAACTCTGAGCAGCTCACCCCTGATGAGGAAGAGAGAATGTGTTTGGGTCATTTAGTATTTGTTACACGCAGGTCAGCGACTGAGAGCCGTAAATGCAGGGCCACACACCGCAAAACAAACTGTGCTACATTAGACTGATTTTTTTATTTTCTGTTCTTTTCCTACAGATCTTAGTTTCCTGAAAGGAAGAGTTAATCCTTATTAATTGGGAAAAACAAGTTTGGAATGATAAAATACTTCCTGCACATCCCTGCCAATCTGTGTGCATCCCAGTTGGCACCTATTTTTACATCTCTTCCATCCCACGTCCTCCCCAACAAGGTCACAAGCCTTCACTAGCGCTGCAACACCATCCTCATTCTTGCTGAGGTCAGGAGTCCTGTGTTTATAAATAAAACATCTTGATCTGATGAAGGGGCCTGGGAGTCAGCTATTCCAGACTCCAAACCCACTAACTGGTTTACTCACTCCTTTGACAAATGTGTTGAGCACCTACCAGGTGCCAGGCACATGGCAGGGCACCAAAATAGGTCCCTGCCCTGCTGGAGATTGCATTCTAGTGGAGGCAGACCAACAATGAAATAGTCGAAGTAGAGTTTGGCAGATTGAGATAAGGGTTATGGAGCAGAAAAGGAGACTGTGGGCGGTGGAGTGAGGGGACTGCTTCTCAGTGTGACTTGCATCAGAAGCCCCAGGGAGTGAGGTACCTGTTGGAATCAAATTGCTACACACTGTCCCAGAGTTTCTGCATCACCAGGTCTGAGGTGGGGGCCTAAGAATGTGTATTTCTGACAGATTCCCAACTGGTGTTGATGCTGTGGGTGCAGGGCCCAGACTCTGAGAATCTGCTGGCACCTTGACCTGGCCCTGCCAGCCTTCAGCGCTGTAAGAAATTAACTTCCGTTACTAGAGGCCACGCACTTAGACTGAATATTCCGTCATAGCAGCCTGACCTAATACAGCAACTTCCCGAGCCTCACATTTTGAATACTATTTATGGGTATTCACTGAATATTAATAAACTGTTACCATATGCCTTAAAATAGCTTACTTTCCTGTGCCCCATTAGATTATAAAATTTACAAATGTAGGGGCCATATGTGTAGACAGTGTGTATTTTGTGCACAGGTAGATCTATTTATGGTTGTTTCTATATCTTCAGCCCCTCATATATTATGAGGCATGGAAGGCCCCCAATTCTTTTTTTGAAAGATGAACAAATGAAATACTAGTTTCCACCATAGAACTGTACAACACAGACAACTAAGCCACAACTTTTGTATGAAAATAGTTTCTTTTCTACCTATTTTCTCATTCAATCATTGGTATATTCTTGGGAAGACCAGTCATTGTCTTTTTCCAGTGGAGACAGAAAGGCCCAAAGAGATGAAGCCATTACTAGTGGCACCCATCTGGGAAGGGGCTGACATGGGGCTTCAACCAGAGCCCCACCTCCCGAGCCCACTACTATATTATAGTAGAAATATAGGCGCACTTCCATCGCTGATGCACTTGATGGGTGGTCTTTATATGTTATTAAAGTGTATTTTAATCATTGTCTCTGATGGAAATGTTCTGAAATTGGATTGGTGATGGTTGCACAATTTGGTAGTTTACTGAAAATCTTTGAAGTGTGTACTTAAAAATGAGTGAATTTTATGATAGGTAAAGTTGTTTAAAAAACGAAATGGACTCAAATATTCATCCCTCTTCCCAAATCATTATCATTCCTTTTCTGGATGACTGTTAAAATCTCAAGTTCCTTCCCAAAAGCCTGCAGGTCGCAAAGTTACCAGCAGTTTACACTGACTAAGATTCTCTCTTTGACCAAACTCTAGCCACATTCATTTGGGCCCTCTTCTCAACGAGACTAACGTACAGGACCTGGAAACCTCTACACTTTCTACAAGAGACAGCATTTTTAATGCAATCTTATGGGACTGAGCCCTTAACCTGCGGGATCTCACACTAAAGGCGTCGGACCTGAACTGAATTATGAGGCATTCAGCTGGTGTAGGGCCAGGCAGCTCCTTACCTGAGCTCTTCAGCAATCCATGTGTTAGCGCTGAGGTCTGCAGCTTATCTGGGCCCACTGACCTCACCGCTGGTGAAACAGCTTACCGTTTCTTTAGAACTCAAGACCCACTCAGGCTTGAACAAAGTACTGATGAAAAAGCAGACTTTGGCCGGGTACCCAGTTATTTTTCTTTGATGTGGGCCTACAAATGCACTTCCATGAGCAGCCTCGCTGATGATTCCTTTCCCGCTGCTCTCTCTGAAGTTACTCACGTTGCTGACCACCCCCTGGGCATGGTTTCATTCTCTCTGCCCCCAAGTCCAGTCCCCGTCTGTCGCACTTAATCACTTTTTAACTTTTCCTTAGTGCTGAACTAGCCCAGCACAGGAAGAATGGTTTGGGATCAGTATCATTAAATAGCCAGGTGGTGGCTGTTTTAAGGCTGAAGCCTTATGCAGTTTGTGAGGCTTATGTTGCAACCACGAGTTTGCTGAGTCAGTGACCCCTCATGGGCAGCTTTCGTTTGAACTGGGGCAGCTCGGGGCATGGGGAACAGGATGCAGCAGTGCAGGCTGGTGGACTTTACTCCCCGTTCGGCGCCTGGCGAGGGTCTGTGCAGACACAGGCCGGCTCTGCCTTTCCGGAGCCCGCGTGCAGTGGGGAGGGCAAGATGGATGGGGAGGAAACCACACCGAACGCATTAATTAATTTATTGAGAACTCTCATTTGCTACAAGCCACTGTGTTGTATATTATATTATGGGTCCTAATGTAGGGGAGGAAAATTTCTTTTTCCTACTACCCGCCTTAAATTCTCAGGCTGGAGCCCTGTAAATTGGACTGACAAAAGACAGATTAACAGGAGCAAAGTATACGGATTTACTTTTTATGTAACGTAAAAAAACCCATACATTTTGTGCTACGTGAGGCTTCGTAAGGAAACGCTGACCTGAAGTCAAACCGAAGTGTTTCATGCCAGGTTTGGTGAGCGGCACTGGGGAACATGTGGCTAAGATAAAAGGGTGTGGGCTAAGGGGACTAAGCAGCGGCGCCTGTTCATTCCGGTTCCTGTCAGCATCACTGCGCCTTTGGAGACCAAGATGCTCCTTTCCTCCCGATGCAGCAGGTCTCAGGACCTCCACGGGGGAGAGGGGGAGGCTGTACAGCCCTTCCTGCCCCAGTTCCTCCTCCTTCAGTTCACAATTCTCGATGTGCCAAGGTGCCATATTTTGGGGTAGTGTGTCCTGAACCCTGTCATTTACAACTGTTAAATGAGATAAGTATTGTAACCATTTCACAGGTGAGGAAACTGAAACTATGAAAGAGTAAGAAAGTTGCTCAGGGTGGCAACTCCCGAACTTCCTCCTGGCCCGAGCACATCTCCCCCACCCCCCCGCATCCGGATTACTAGTCCCATCTCTTCCATTTAGGAAATAAAGACTTAGCATGGGAAAAATAACTTACTTCCTAATTCCATGACCTATAGTAATGGCTCTTACTAGAATCTGTATAATGAGAATAATTTGCTTCAGCATAAAGGCACACTATGTAAGAGGTTGATTGCAAACAGTGTGATCTGCAAGAATGTGTTTGGCATGGGACCATAGGCTGTAAAGGAACCATATTTGAACTAAAATGAAAAGCATTTCATCTAAATTTAATTTCAGTTTTAAAATGAAGCTACGGCGCTGGAATCTGTGAATCACGTGTGTGATCTGACGCAGTGCTGTTTGCAGAGGTCATTTCAGTCAGTCCCCAGGAGGCAGGACAACGACTGCTAAGGTGGTGTATGGAAGAATGAAGAGACCAGAAGGTCTCCTCCTCAGCTTTTTTAAAGTGTTGCTCCTTTGACTGAGCCCCACGCTGGCCGGCACTGTAGTGTCATCTGTGGGTCAAGCCCAAGCTGTCTCCCAGACATTCAACCAGCCTGCAGAGTGCTACCTGCCCAAATTCCTAGGAGTGGGCATGAGGGCGTCGGCAGCATCATCATCCCCCAGAGAGCATTGTCTAGAGGTGTAGTGAGGTTAGGAAATGATAACTTAGGTATAGAAAGAGCAAAAGGCTACGGCGACCAGCAAAACAACCTAGTCTTCAAGATCATTACCAGAATGCGGTAATTAACGTCCCCAGAACAAAGCCCTTAGGTCAGTCTCAAAAATAAATCTGCTGAGTGAGAGTACATGGGAGGTCTCTGTACAATCTTTGCAAATTTTCTTTAAATCTGAAATTATTCCAAAATACAGTGAAAAAAAATCTCTTACTGTCACAGTGACTATTTCTCACTTCCTTTAGCTAGGTGACAAGCAACTCCCTCCCCTAGCAGTGCTTTTTGTAACTTTTGCTGTTAGAAATAAAAAACCCTGGGAAGTTACCCCAAGAAGTTAACCACTCTATGTGCAAAGCTAAATAATCAGTATTTGTTTTCCTATGGAAATGAATTTTAATTCCACTTTACTTACCTTGTTAGTATACTATTTTTTAAAATAATTCCATTATTTACCTTTTAAAGAACTGAGGCATTATAATGATAAGGAAAGGGATACATTTATAGCAGAAACAGTCTGATGTCTTACATATGTAAAACCCAAGTATCCTCTCCGCACTGGCTTTTCTTTTGGTATCTGAATTTAAGAGAAGTGAAGGTTTAATCACTAACGTGAAGTCTTTACAGTACTATCCAACTTTTTCCAGGATGATTTACAGAGAGACAAATCTTTGTGAAGGGAAAGGGAACATTTATTTGCTGTGTCCCAAGTGCTTCCAAATGCCATCTCATTTAATCTTTACGAAAATGCCTGAGAGTATGACAGTTATTAACAGTCCAGTTTGCCTGTGAGGAAACAAAGATTCAGAGACATCAACTAACCTTTTATGGATCTGCAGCCAGGAACCAAGTAGAAGCGTTTTGACCCCAAATCTGACAGATTCCAAAGCCTTCTGACACCATCCCAAAAAGTTTAGCAAACAATATAAAACCTCTCCCCCATTCATTTAAAATATATTCCCCCCACTATGTCTACATTGGGATTCCATTATTAGTATCATGCTGCATTTATTTAATAAGTTAGAGAATAGCATATTTACCCAAACAAACTAAACAGTTCTTGATTCTCCTTACAGCGTACGACTGCCGTAACCAAGAAGAGACGAGTGTGTTATACAAGACAGAAAACGAAAAGAAAGTGATTCTCCAATAAACCAGCAAGGTCAAGTGTGTTCCACAGACCATCAGTGCGAAGATGTTCCTTGGGAGAAAAAAGTCTTTCTTAGTGGAATAAGTTTGGGAAATATTAACAGTGAACATTAGCTTAGTAAAGGCTCTGAAAAGTCCTGTAGTCTAATACTGACTGTTTTACTCAAAGAAAAAAAAAATCTCCCTCATACTGAATTTTAATGCCGTGCAGTGTTTCTCAAAGTGTGGTCCATGACTGAAATGCATTAGTATTACTCAGCATATAGACTAGCAAAGCAAATCTGGGGGCCCTGCCCAACCTCAGATCAATAGGATAATAATCTCTGGGGAGGGGCCTGAAAATCCCCAATTTAACCAACTCCCTGTATATTACATTCTATGTACATTTAAGCATGAAAAAACAGTTGGTGTTTTTCAGTCTCTAGCCACACGCGTGAGCTCACGCTGTTCTGCAGCTGCTGCCTGGGACCCTCAGAATCCATCACTTCGCTTCCACGGGACTCTCGCCGTGGGCAGCCTTGAACTCCAGGTTGTTAGAAGCAAGAGTTTCCAGATTAGAAATGCAAATAATATCAGTCACAGGAGCTGGGAGCGACAGGTTACTCCTAAATGCTAATAGACAGGCTTCCTTAGTCTGCACCTTCCACTACTTCAGGTCGGCTCTGGGAACGAGGAATGTTCTCGGCTTTGCTAGAGAGCTCGAGCGTTCAACACTTAATGCTACGACGCTGTGGGCGTCTCCCCCGTTCCATTTTCCTTCATTTTCCTTCCTCTCCTGTTTCTCTTTTTCCTCTCTGGTATGAAAAGCTAGAAGTGATACCCTGGAAAGTTAACAGTGGTTGTCCCCTGTTCTGAGGGCCGTGCGTTCGTGATTTTCTTTCCCCGGACGTCCTACGTTCAGGTTTGCAGAAGGCAGGCAGTCTGTAAACTTAAACACCCGAGTGAGTGAGAGTGGGGGGCTCTGTGGTGAAAGGAGCCCCCACCTCCTGGCTGACTTCCAAGGAGGCAGAGGAGGGCAGGACCAGTCACTGTGTATTTTTGGGTCTCTGCACCTGTTGGGTGTACTTTTCAAAACCTGTAAAGGAAAACTGAGACTGTTGGTCCAGTACTGTTTTTTCCCTCCTGCCTGGTTTTCCCCTTTTCCTTGCTGACCCTATCTTCTCCCCCAGCTGTGAGCGCTGTGCCAGGCGAGCAGCCGGATGGCACTTGCTGGGGTGAAAGAGCCGCTGTCTGGTCTCAGGATGTGAGTATAATCACACGGGCGCCTCTGTATAGCCTCTTTCTGCCGAGGGCTGAGATTCCTCTTTAAGATTCCACTGCTGTTGTTAACATCCCTGCAGGGCAAGGAGGAAGCCAGTCACTGCGTCTCTGAGCTGGTCCCCAGTTTTCTGAATCTCCATCTTCCCTGGAGCAAATAACACAGAAAGGAACAGGGCGTCCACAGAGTTAGAAATGGTCTGGGTACTAACTGCTTTCCATGCTCCTGGAGAAGCCAGACCTCGTGGCTATTACAAGGCCTTCGGGAAAGCAGGAAAGCATGTGCATATCGACTTGCCTTTGGGGAAGGATCTTACAATGATCTGTAACCTCTGCAGCCTCACTCGCTTCCTCCTCTGTGTGAGTGATGAAAGCCCCAGGGAGCGAACAGCCTAGTACATAGGCAAACACAAGGGAAAGCGCGGCCCAGGCACTGCAGGCTCTCCCTGCCCTGGCCGAGTGGCCTTGATAACTCCCCTCGTTCCAGCACAGACTGTTAGGTCTTCAGGCTGAGCTGGCCTGTTGGCCACCACTGTTCCCAGGAGTGCGCCCAGCTGCCCGGGGTGTGCTCCTGAGAGCACAACACTACATCGAAGCCCTGAAAACCCCGCAGCTGTCTGGGCTGCACCTTTCCTGCTAATAGAGGAAATCAATTTTACCTCCAGAATTTGCGCTCATTTTTAGGAACATGGGGATTATGTAGTTATTGCAAGTCTGGGTTTTTCGGAGAGGTGTGAACATCTCATCTAAACATTTTAAATTAGGACTGACAGCAAAAGTTCCTTGACTCTTCAGAAAATGGGAAAATAATATTGGGTATTTCATCGCAATAAATGGCTGTGGAGATACACCCACATTTATGGTTGCTATTACTGTCTGAAGGGCTCACCTTATAAAGCTGCTAAGGGTGGATGTCAACCACATTTGCCCTTAGCTTTCTTTTGATTTGGGGTTATCCGTTTTTTAAATTTTGGTATCAATATATAATTACATGAGCAACACTGTGGTTACTAGATTCCCCCCATTATCAGGTCCCCCCCACATACCCCATTACAGTCACTGTCCATTAGCATAGTAAGATGCTGTAGAGTCACTACTTATCTTCTCTGTGCTATACAGCCTTCCCTGGCGTCCCCTTACCCCCACTACATTATATGTGCTGATCGTAATAACCCTTATTCCCCTTCTCCCTCCCTTCCCACCCGTCCTCCCCAGTCCCTTTCCCTTTGGTAACTATTAGTTCATTCTTGGATTCTGTGAGTCTGCTGCTGTTTTTTTCCTTCAGTTTTACTTCATTGTTATGCTCCACAGATGAGTGAAATCATTTGGCACTTGTCTTTCTCTGTCTGGCTTATATCGCTGAGCATAATACCCTCTAGCTCCATCCATGTTGTTGCAAATGGTAGGATTTGTTTCTTCTTATGGCTGAATAATATTCCATTGTGTATCTGTACCACTTATTCTTTATTCATTCATCTACTGATGGGCACTTAGGTTGCTTCCATGTCTTGGCTATTGTAAAAAGTGCTGCGATAAACATAGGGGTGCATCTGTCTTTTTCAAACTGGGCTGCTGCATTCTTAGGGTAAATTCCTAGGAGTGGAATTCCTGGGTGAAATGGTATTACTATTTTTAGTTTTTTGAGGAATCTCCGTACTGCTTTCCACAATGGTTAAACTAGTTTACATTCCCACCAGCACTGTAGGAGGGTTCCCCTTTCTCCACAACCTCGCCAACATTTGTTGTTGTTTATCCTTTGGATATTGGCCATCCTAACTGGTGTGAGGTGATATCTCATTGTGGTTTTAATTTGCATTTCTCTGATGATTAGCAATGTGGAGCATCTTTTCATGTGTCTGTTGGCCATCTGAATTTCTTCTTTGGAGAAGTTTCTGTTCAGATCCTCTGCCCATTTTTTAATTGGATTATTTGCTTTTTGTTTGTTGAGGTGTGTGAGCTCTTTATATATTTTGGATGTCAA